ACGTCCCGTAAAATTAAGAGACTTTGTTGAATTGTAATTTTGTGTTTGTAATTCTGTACATTTAATTAAGTTATTGTTAATTGTTATTGGTTTATTGTATGTGGTTATTGATCGGGACGAACAATATTAAGGAGGGGGCAGTGTTGCGTCAGCGAGGTCACGTGACTAGTATCACGCCACGTCCTTCTCTCGAACCTTCGTGAATTATCGGGAGACTACTAGATTGGGGGTAGACTGGTATATATAAGATGGTCACAACGTGACGAAGTAGTGAATAATTGAACTGCAGTCAGAGAGTGTGTAATTGAACTCGAGCACGTGAGACGTTCGTTGAGAATTATAGCGCGACTGTTGAAATTAAGTGTATCGTAAAGTTGTATTCGGAAGAATAAACCAATTTTATTTAAGAAAGGACTTGTGTCGCTAAAGTTTCGTTGGAACGAAGTTGCGGAAAAATTAACTAACGACTGGAGGCGTAACAATATCATTTTTCAAAATATGTCATTCAGAAATGAAATTTCAACAAGAACCAACAACATTATTTTATCTGAATCTTCTTTGACAAACTAAAGTAATAACATAAACTAACGATTCTTTAACAGTTTTGTTATAACAATCAATTTCACTTTAATTTCTTTGTTAATTCGAACAGAATTAAATATAATCAATAAAAGCACCAAATTTACATTTTAAACTGAAAATGGTATTACACATATCGTCACTATGCACAGTTTCAATTAATTTCAACATAAATTTTGCCAATAGAAGATAAACTTTATATACCATGATAGCCACTGTATATTTTAAAACATGCATATACACGTATAAAAGAATTCTAACTACTATATTCTTTTACATATCACAAAGTCTTTAACAGCAGGTATATATTTATATATATATTTTTATTGGAAAAACTTCAGTTTGAATGAGTGGCCTGATCTGGAAAGACTTTCGTTTAGATAAGTGACCTTATTTCGAACGATTTCCGTTTGGATGAACCAGTCGGATGGACTTTCACCAGCAAGTGTAATATTATGCTTGCTCGGATTGTCTATACGGAAGTTTCATTTTCTTACATTCAGTAAATTAAGTATATTGATCTGTGATGTAGTTTTTTAAATGTATACATAGAGAGTTTGGCACTTATATCTAAAATATTTTACGTTAAACCTAATTGAAATTCATTCATTACCGTGAGTAAATATAATGTTTTTATGATGAGTCTTGTAAATTCTTTACATAATGTAAATTTCACCTAATATAAAATAAATAAGTCTCATCAAAGCGTTTCACGTGATCAATAGGGTTTGTTTCCTTATACATTAGTTAATGAAAACGTTTTTGTTATATCAGATAAAGTGATTTTAAATTTTATTCATATCTTCACAAAACAATTGAATTACATAAAGATGCTTAACTTGTATAACAATGGCGACTGACATTATTTCATAACAGAGGTTTTGCCTTGTCATAGTTGTAGTATTACAAACTCCTACAGAGGTTTGTGTACGTTGTATTGAAATGATTTTAGTGCTTTACCACGTCATTAGAGCCTATGTCGCCACGTCCGGTCATGCTCTATCTGACGACCATACATCTTTATAATATCTCTGAAGCGTAGTTTCCATTGAAAGAGGCTCTGATCTAAGGATGTTGTATCTACAATATACCACTAATCCCTGCCTGCTTCGAGGATGGTGTTTTCCGTGCACTTGTTTCAACAGTCCAATCGCACAGAAATCCACATGCACAGCTTTCGGCGACTTGACAAATATATGTTTTTTACAGCTTTTTCTATTGACCTTTGTGTTCGTGGGTACTCATCTATCACTGCACCTTGCTTACTTCGCTTGGGGGTACCACTTGTTGCAAGACTCTTATTGAATAGTCCTGGTGCAACAAGCTGATCCATATTCCTTTGTTTTACAACGTCATTAAGTACATGGACGACTTCCGTCTTGAAAATCCCAAGTCCCCGATCTGAACACACCTTTAAGATCTGAGTGAGTGTTTCTCAGACGGATTTGCCAGGCGACCCTCGCGTATGGGCTTTGGTCGTCGCGACTCCCCATTATCTCTATAGGAATGAAAAAACACAGCAATTTTATTTATCTCAATAAAATGTTCACTCAACGCAGACAGCTCGCACCCCCCTGGAAACCTGCTCGCGACCCCCAAGAAACACTGACCTGAGTGCATGAATATTTTGTGTCGGAAAGAGCTGTTACATACCCTTTCCAAACTTTATCCATGTTTGGTGGCAGCACAATGTCAAAATATAGTTCTGATACATGCTTCTCTACTGTAACTTTATATCTGATGTGGTTTTCACGTAACTTGCTGACTTACACATTCAAAATCATTTTATTATAAGACTCAACCTTTTAATTGTTGTGTACAGAGTATAATAGAATCACTAATTATTAATATTGACTCTAGTATAGAACCTATACTGATTGAAATACATTATTAATAATATCTTTGTATTAGTTTATAAGAAATAGACAGCAACCTACTTAGGATTACAAATATCAAACATCTGATAACAGGTTATGCGGCGAGGATCCTTTTGAACTAACCAAGCTGTCATAGCAAAACTTAAACATATTAATAACAAGTTAACTTTCGCAACAAAAATTTAAAAACTTTACTTAGTGAAGAATTCTTATAAGTCAATATCCAAAGTTTTAAAAGAAGATAATTTGCTAAGAAGTCATAGATAACGGTATCTGTCATTCTGATGTCAGAAAAAAGACGCAAATATTTTAATCTTTGTATTAAACATTTACCGATATTTGTAGACTGCTTAACTGAGCAAAAGTAGTGAATATAAGGACTCAAGGACAAATAAGTTGGCCAAAGATCATTTAGCCCATCGAGTTTCGTTCAATCATTAAAAGCTCAATATAGTCTTTTATGTCGATACAGCAAATACTTGAACAGAAAAACATCC